TAAATATATATATATATATACCCAGTATGCAACTTGCCACGTCTGCTCAGTATCATTGTGTTGACCCAAAAGCAGCACGTCAACTGTATCAGTGCCGGGGCAACCCAGACATTTGCACACAGGACAGAAAGTGTCCACAGAGCTCGTCACCAGCATTTCGATTAAACCCTCTTTCAAGATGACATGAACCTTATAATTTGTCAGTTTACTTGACGTGCCTTAGCTGATTACGACCACATTTGTGTTTTTACCAAAAATATTGGAGTCCCGTTTGATTAACCACTTGGTAGAAATATGGAAAAATAAGTAAGCGGTGAGCTACTGACGATTACCAGGTTTTAGGCCAAAACTCACAGAGATATCGTGCACTAACGATGTCTCCTGGCTTAGTGACGAGACCTTTGCAAACCCATTACCACGCTTATCAAGCAGGTCAACTGGCACTTGATCAACGATCCATGAACTCAAGCGGTCACCTTTTCCCATCAATATACTTTCAGTAATAAATTACTTTGCACTATGTCGTTTCAAGGCTCCGTGAATGTCGAGGAGTTCTCGTCAAAATGTGTTGACTCCCAATCGACCTGTTACTCCGGAAACTCTTACCCGGCGACCAAGGGCTCATAACATCTGTTAGTGTGTAGAAACCAGTAACCACCTGACGAACAATCAAATCCTAAAGTGTGTTCGGAATAAGGACTGACAAGGCATAGTAAAGCATGGTAGAAGATGGAAGTAAATCTCACCCATAAAAGCAGACATTGTGAGCAATTGTCGCAGGTATTTTGTGTTCAAGTCGGCCAGCTCATGTATTCCAGCATAAACATCCAGTAAGGTGCTGTTTGTCGGTAGGTACTGGTGAGTAGAGGGGGCAGTAAAGCGGAAAAAAGCGTCAGTTTAGGACAGTTTTCATTCTGCATTCTTCATCTTGGGGTCGTTGCCCAGTATCCGAATGCTAAAACACCTCTCTTAGATTGAGAAAGGAAGCACAGGATGAATATATATACATATATATACATATATATGGTTCAATAAGGTTAGATAATCAATTATCGTACCACTTTTTAAAAACAGTTTGAACTTCTTACAGTTGTCTGAACTCCACTCAATGATAAGGATGGCATTTGTTTCTCGATTTTTTCTACGATTCAGAAGGTAAACTTGCGCCTGACTCATTGTTTTAGACAAGGAAATGGTCACTCTTCGGATGAAATTTTCCACACACTCTTTATCCAGACTTGTGGACGTTGTACACAGTGCCTATTTGCCAGCAAAATGGTGATATACACGTGTTTACGTGATATACTGTAAGCAGGGACCAACAAAACTAGAGGATTTGGTGTTCAGCCTTCTTGCTCAACTACTTCTGATGCAGTGTAGGCACCTCCTTCCATAAAAGTACTTGTAAAATGTAAGCCTAACGTTGCGAAGTATTATGCCGCCTTGGTTTGGTGATAGACTTAATGCTGGCCAGGACTTGTATACCTCTTTGGATCCAGTAAAATGGTGCTCATCGCTTGGCAATCGTCCAAAAAGTTTAGCACTGTGGTGATGCGTGCAGACGACGGTGTCACATGGATATTATTTGATGTTCTCCATCGGTGGCCGTTTACAAAGTCCTGATGTGCACCACAGAATAAATGAATATTTCTGTTATGGGGTTTGTGGGATATATTCACATCGATCATTTTCAAATAATATTCACATATTCACATATTCACATCGATCTGCTTTGAACAGGCATAATTATTCTGGTGAGCCCACATCAGCACTGGATCCGAGTTTCGCTCTTATTAGAGCTCATCAGCATTGCATGTCTCATGGCCGCGCCGGGGTTGAAATTCCAGGCATCTGACATCTGACAATAGTTGTTGCAGTGATTTTTACAGTGTACGAGAATACGGACCACTTTCAGGTATGACCGTCTCAGCTGGTTTCGTTCTTATCTCTAGGGTTTTCTTGAGAACATTTTTCAATAAACAGCCGATGAAGATAAGTGAAGCGCTTGAATGTTTCACAAAATGAAACGACAATTTTCATGACGCTTCAAGGAGAAACCGATACTGAAAATCGGATTTTAACACAGTGTCCACTGAATGTAGGTTCCCGATTGGTTGACCTTTGTTAGTTCTCCTGTTTTTGAGCGGTTATTCTGGTTCATCCACACAGGGGAGGGGAGGACCGCGGTAACCGGTTTTTTGGGGATTATCTCTTCTTGTTTAAAATCACCGGTCCGGATGCGGTCAGCGCGCTCGCGTGATCTAGTGGTAATAGGTTCAGACCTTAGGATCTCGGTACGTTTTAGGATGTGCGCCCTTGATGAACTATAGTAAGAACGAAGCCCGGGTGAGCCGTTTTAACCTCTGATGCGGGATGTTTGAGGGGTTCCTAACTGGGCCTGAACTCCTCCCATAGGAGTGATCCAGAAACAAATTACTCTAATACCACCGCGACCCACAAATGAGCGAAATCTCCGACGGATCACAGAAATTACTGAAACATGAGCCGATCGATAAACGCAGACAGAAAACTTATTTAATCATCGTCCGAAAAGTCAGGGTCGCCACGCATAGCACACAAACGTGAGCACGTTTTGTTGGTACGTGATTAGGGTTCAAATTACGATAATTCCCATTGTACCCACTGTTGATGAGCCCCAATAAGAATGAACAGCAATCACTCCCTTTTTCTTTGGTATGGAGTTAATTCATGTTCTTCCTAAAATGGGAGGTTTGGAGTCAACACCGCTTGGTGAGCAATTACACTATCTCCACAGGTGACAGCTGTCGGTGAATCAACAAGATGCCGGCTGGGGTATATGCCTCAGCTTAGTTTTGAGTAGTTAGGAGCACAAAATCGTCTTAGATTCTGAAGGGAAAACCACGATGTCAAAGGTGACGTCACAAACAGCGAAAGATCTGGAAGGGAAAACCACGATGTCAAAGGTGACGTCAAAAACAGCGAAAGATCTGATAAGATGATAGTGTGTGCGTTCAGGTACTTTCTTCGGATCAACTGATGTTTTCATCGGGGGATTTTATCGAAAACACTGAACGCAAACAATGTGTTCTATGGTTGTATTTCATCGCAAAACTATTAGTGAAGGAGGTTATTCTTCAAAGAAGTGATATGAAATGACAATGACATAGGTAATACGTTTGGCCGTTTGGTAAAACGCCATTGAATGGAACAGGGCTTTCTTGAAACCTTATTTATGAATGACCTCCCAAGTAAATGACTAGCAACGCTCCTTCAAGGAAAAAAAACGGTGGAAACAACCGCTTCGCCTCGAAGTAACCAGAACACTAGCAAGGATTAGTTATAGGACGTGGTTGTTTACAGGCAGCAACTCCTGTGACAGTTTTGCGAACATATTTCTAGGGAGAACGAGTGAAAAGTTAGCTTAGCCTGTAGTAGCTATATTCCGTAGTCGTATGATCTCGCTCACGCTTGAACAATGCAGGGGTGTGCATTCCACGAAAACCAACGACAGGTATTCACACAAAGACAACATGGCAGCTCACTGAGGAACTGAGCCTACTACTTTATGACGATAAAGTGGAATCTTGGTTTCGTCGTTTTACCAGATACACACCCCCTGAAGACGAGTGCGGACGACTTTAGCGCAAACTGCTGATGTTATTAAGTAGTTTGGTATTTGTGAGTGTTGTAGATGATGATCACGGTAAAACTTTTCGAAGACTGCTGTAGACAGGATTACACAAAGACGTGATGTAACCAAAGCCAAGTTGACAGCTACCACCAAACTGCGGTTTGATTGGGTAATGGAAGATAACCATGTGAGTGCTTTGAGGCTGAAGACAATGCACCTGATTGGCTTGATTATTGACTAGTGCTGACCAGACTACCATCTATCCACGAGTTTGTTGCAGATTCCGCGTAGTATCTTTTAGCATGTAAAGGTAATCCTGTTCAAAGTGGTTGAGCCTAGTCTCGTAATACACTGCGATATCTCTTCGTATGACAAGAATCATTTTGTGATAGACAACAAGCATATCTTTAGCATTCGGTAGCGTCCAATCTCAGTTACCTACGAATGTTTATTGCGCAAGTATCATCGTAATCCTCACTGTAAATCCGTGAAAATCCGGCTTAAGCATTTATAAGACCTTTTGTGCTGATGTTAGGCGCAAGCATGTGAATTTGTTTGTTAGTCTTCTGACAACCAAGGGTCGGCAAGCCCGATAGAAAGGTTCCGTTCTTGGAGTGTCCCATTTCTGGCTGAGCCACCAGCTGTAGGTTGAAAGCCGCTGGGCGGTTCTTTCACCGTTTTGGTGCAGCAGCATCCTGTTGTTGCTAGACTCATTAGAACTGGCGACTTCATGCGCACAAATGTTGCTCAGTTGTGGATATTCCTACTCCCCGCTCATACTCACTTTATCGTTTGAATGAATCCGGATACCATCCTTACGAGCTGGATTTAAGGAACTTGAAAGTCCAGTGAAGCCAGCAGCCTCACGGGTGAGAATTAGGCATGTTATTGCGCCGAGAAACTCTATTCACGTGACCACGTAGGATAAATTGACATCGTACAACCAAGCGCAAGGTGGATTATGATGCTTGTGACTCGGTTATTTAAGTAACCCATAGAACTATCCCTTTGCTTGATTGTGAAGTCTGCTTAAACGTGATAAAGCATATTGCAGACAGCCATTCTAGAGGGTTTCAAACTAATTGGGGAGCACGGAGCTGGTCTAAAAATGGTGTGAAAACTTCGAAGTGAACATATTTAATGTACTAAATGAACATGGTGAATTACGACGATTCATACAAGCCACATACGAGAGGATACTATATTACTACCTAGTCATATTTGGGTAGGCTTACTCAGTGCGTTTTTCAAACGTTTTATTTCATGAAACTTAATTCAAGACATTTTGTTGCACTTCAACAGAATGAATATCTAGGAGGCATCCAGTCATATTAAGATTTGATTTACTTATTGTCAACTAAAGTTTATGAAGATGTGCAGTGGGCATAACACAGACCTACCTGAGTTGTCTGTAACGGAAACATGGACGGACTGGTGATCGATGGGAGCTGATGAAGGTTGATTGGCCCATTAATCCGAGCTCCAATTGGTTCGTCCTCCAGGTAGAGTGGCAAGTGACAAAAATGATGCACAGACCACCACAACTTGAAATTAGCCCATGTAGATGGATGTTGACCCATCAAAGCGGATGGAGGTTCACGCACAAAATGCTGCGATTTGAGCGGTGGTGGATTAGCCATAAGTTGACTAGCAGTTGGATTCAGTGAAGATGGGACTGAGGCAGCGACTAAGACAATCACATTTGGTGTCCATAATTTGGAGGTTGAAGTTGGCTTTCCTTCAGCCTTGCCACTCGTGGGCTTCTTCGCACTAGGCTCCAACATCACAGTTACATCTCCGCTTGTTCCACCTTCAGGAGGTTGCATCAACAGACGATCAACCAAACGTATGAAGGTGGCCAGCTTGATGATTGTACTTGTCGGGGAGGTGGGACAGCCGGTTCCAGTGATGCAGAGGACAATGCGCGTTTGTCGTTTACCAATACGACTGTCGATCATTGATAAAACTTTACACGCCTCCATTAGACCCTTTCGGATTAACTCTTTCCATTTAGACAGATTTTGTTGAGCTTCTGCGGTGCTTTTCATGGATTTTTTGTCACAGCCATGTCGATGATTACTTGTTGCATTACCTTTCTTCCGCTTTTGATCTCCTTTGAGTAGAAGCTCTCCTGATTCGCATAAATTGACATTATTTTGGAATTGGGTTTGAATATCCGAGGAATCGTCTCCCTTCTCACTGCTTTCCGACCCGTCGTCCACATCGTCATCACTGGTAGCAGATTGACTGACTTGACTCTCGACATCTGTGGCATCCAGTCGAGGTTTATCGACTCTAACCTTAGTCCCACCTGGGTTTCCGTTAGTCCGATTGTGCGAATGTGAAAATAACCGCCACTTCTGGTCTGCAGCCGCTGTTACCGCAGCGGCGGCTGCTGCAGCGGCCACGGTTGCGGCGGATGTTAGTTCTTGGTTTAAATGAAATGCCGCTCGACTTGGATTGGAAGCGTACCGAGCTGAACCATCACAAAACCAGAGAATTGACAAACCGGTAACACCAGATGGTCTTTAGAGTTTCAAGCATGGAAAAACAGTGCACGGACGACCCCTAAAAAGTACTCACCACGATTGACGAAATACAATGATTAGCATATTACTTTATTGCTTAAGGTGGACATCATAAACAAGAAGTTTCCTCAAGTCTCCAGTTGGTAGAAAAGTAGAATGGGAGTGAGTTTACTTTACCAGTTGTACACAACCTGTTGTTCAAGTAATGCACAAGACTGACGGAAACTCAGAAACTATGCCTACGTGAAGAGCTCAAGAAGGGCGAAATTGGCAGTGGGCTGTCGTAGAATTTTCATTAACTTTATATAAAGTGTTTTATGTCAAGAAAATATACACTTGTGGTGTTCTCGTGGTCCAACGCAGTGCTGAAACATGGGTTCTGGAATGTGCGTAATGCATTTGTGTGCGACTGTGCCCAGGCCTGTGAACGACGGAAGAGAGCAGTTCGTTTCGGATATTGAGACTATCCACCATCCATCGTTGGACATGTGAGGTGTCGATATTTATTTGAAAGAAGCTTATGTACGTCCGTGGTTTCGCTGCCTGAATTCGCCTATCTATTAATCCTGTTATTTGGCAGGTTATTATGCAGTGGCCGATTTTGTAGCCTAGTCTGACTGGCCTTCAGTTATTGGTGCTGCCAAGGGATTCGCATCCGGTAAGTCCACGGATGCAGTTAGTATTCGTTTCGTGATATTATTAATGACTATGCTTATTTTTTCAATGACACCGAAGACTCTACATTCTCTGAACTGACAGAGCTAAGACGATAGCACATTCACATGGGATTCCGAAAAGTTTCAGACAAGAAAAGGCCGATCAATATTGACCAAACTATGTGAATTAAAGCTCTAGCGAATGTGTTGAACGTTTTAACAGTGATCCCACTTTGAGTAATGTGAGTCGATATAATGGAGTGTATTTGCTTTTAAAAGGTTTTATTTCTGTACTCCGCACTAAAGCGTAGGGCTTAGCTGATCCATTTGTGGTAAGAGGAATGGTTGACTACCTGCCTAATAGAACCAACAATGCCAGTCGAGTAAACTCGCCAAGAATAGACAAAAGACAGTTTTCGAACGGATACTTTGCCACTTCTAGTATAGCCATAGATATCAAACCAAACACGGGGGAATTTATGTTAAAGCATTTAATGTACAAAAACATGTGCTGATAGCATACATTGCTCGCATCGTTCAGTAATGGACAGGCCAACGCCTTCAGACTGATCCCGTGTTCAATGAGAGGTCAACCACACCCTTACCTGACCAGAATGTTCATTGAAAATGATCGAATGTGCTAGTCACAGGAAGCCGTCGGTGAACATAGAGGCCCAAAGAAGAGTGCCGTCTGAGAGAGCCGTCTCCAACCCAGTAGTAGCCTCTTTTGCCCATTTATCGCTCGAACAGTCGATGTTTATTCCCCGTTACCCCACAGAACACCCGTGATAAGAGTAATGACCAAAATTGCTAAACCGATTCAACAATGCAACCAGCTGTCTCACTCTGTCCACCTGTGACCTATTTTTGGATGCTAGCAGTGTGACCCCCTGCAGAACCATAGGGTGTTGGACAGTACAGCATGCGTTTTAACGGAGATATTGTCCTGCTATTGAAACAGCCTTTGCTGAAAAGTCAAGTGGCATAAATTAGTTTCACCTACAGAGCAAAATCGCCATTACAATCCCCGGATTGTTTCTCACGTCCAACAATATGCATTTGGTGGTTTATGCAGGCCAACGGCTCCAATGTTTTAAGCCAAGTGAGCAGGTAAAAAACCATGATAAAAGCAAAACTTTGAAAATATCATAAAGACGTAAAATGTAGCGCACTGTTTCATTTTCATTTGCTTATTGCAGAACATGTAGAATTTTCACTGACGAAGATTTTTCCCGCTGAATAGCACAAATGCGCCGTTTCGTGCACTTTCTTTGCAGTTAGCCTTTTGTACAGTGAAAATCTACAGTTTTGTTCAGTTAATACGACTCTAAAACACTACTTCCCTCATGGTGGATTGCAATAGCTGTTGAGACGATTGCTCCATTGGAGTGACTCAAGACAGAGTGAGAGATGTTGGCCGGTCCCAAGGGTGTTTCCTCTTCAGGTGGAGCACGGAAATTTCACCGGAGTGTTTTGTGCCATTGTAAATTAGGCGATTGGTGTGAGAATGTAGGCAACAAAGTAACTTGCAAATAAATTTAAGTACAGCATTGTACGAACAATTATCCCAAAGAGCTAACAAAGCATGCTCCTCATTGGGAAACATCGTTTTCTCTGTGTTGTTCGTCCAACTCGATTTTACACGGAATTCTGTCAAGCCCAAAGCACTAATTCTCGTTTGTCAGTCAGTTTGTGAAGGCATACTCAAAGTTTGGTCCTTGGGCAAATAAATTTGGGTTGATCCTGAGAGTCAATCATATCTCGAAATAGGAAAATTCGTTTTGACAAAAAAGTAAGGAATAACGATTCTGGAACAAAAAGTTACAATTAATAGTAGGTAAACAGAAGATAGCTAGGAGGAGGTTGCAGTGTTTTTTCCAGTTTCCAAGCTTAATTAGGAGATTTTGCTTCCTCAGCCGTAGATCAGCCAACTGACAGGAAGTCGGGTGATCAGGGGTTGACTCTCCGAAGAATCCATTGTAACCACTCAGCAAATGGCCAACACGGGACCAGTAAAATCGGTGAAAATACATTCCATCTCTATCAAGATAAGAGGGGTCAAATTATTTCCTGGATTTGACTCGGGGAATCAGAGTAGGCACGTGAGGGGCCTTCTTCGACAGCCACCGTATTTTCCAGCCAGACAAGGTGGCCGGATTACTGTGTCACCCCATTTTTCCACTGTTGCTATTTTGTCAAAAGTTTGTGGTCATTATCTGCTGACTACGCTGGACGTGGACTGTCCAGCCATGGGGCCTTCCGACGTTTCAGTGCTGATAGTTTACTTTATTTCTTTTTCCGGCGGGTGATCAAGGGTGAAATTCCATTCGACCGTTTGCAATATCTCCACGGGAGGCCAGCTAACCTGTTGATTTCCAAGATCCAGTCGATCCTACTAGTTGATAGAAGGCATGGGTTTTTCCGGTAGCCTAAGCCTTCTCTATTTGCAGATCTTCGACATATACCAGAGTTCTCATCCTTTCCTTAGGCTTTTCACCATTTGGCGTTTGGTGTGCGCCATCCTACTGGTTGCTTGCTGGTACGAATTTTCTAGCATCAATTAGGAATATCGACGCTTTCCGGTAGCCTAAGCCTTCTCTATTTGCCGATCTTCGATATATACCAGAGTTCTCATACTTTCTTTAAGCTTTTCACCATTTGGCGTTGGGTGTGGGCCTTCCTACTGGTCGCTTGCTGGTACGAATTTTCTAGCAGCAATTAGGAATATCGACGTTGACTATATCCGACGGTCATTCGGTCGTACCGGACAAATCAGACCGACAGTAATGGGCGCATAGCTCACAGTTTACCATACTTACTCCAATTGCAGTATTGGTTTACTGCGGAGAGCTGTCGAACTAACTGAAATTGATGCAGTTGAGCTATGGAAGTTCTTCGGAGATAGTGGATTGGCATGCTTCTTGCTGATTTGCAAGGGCCTCAGCGAAAAGCGAAATTTCGGGCGTGTACGCACCTTGGCCTTTTCAAAATCAATTTTGTGCAGCAGAAAAAAAAACAGTAGCCTTGAATTGTGGCTCTCTACCAGTGGCCGATGGCTAGGTGATCTAACTGGGTTCACGGTTGATTTGCATTTTGTGGCCGGCAGGTTACGCGTTACGAATGTTCATGCTGAAAGTTTCTACTGGCCAGAAACAGTTTATGATCAGCACACAATTTTCAGATTCGCTCGCCGTTGTCTGTTTGGTAAGCATCGACTCTGGATGGACCACCTGAATGTGATTCCAAGGAGCTCAGACGACCGATTTGGGCATTCATATCACCCGAAAAAATAAGTATCCGTGCTTCTCGCTCGGAAAGCCTTCGTCTCAGCGAAAAAACTACACTCTCTTGGAGCATACGCCGACACTACAAACATGCACCGTTCATTATGTTGTGAGGAATTGAGTTTGATGGAGATGAATAACCGCATGGCTCAAAAAGACGATTGTACACTGAGATTCAATCCAGCAAAGTGTGTTCAGATAGGGGGCTGAGTGCAGCGCCCACACCATGTATTCTGCGAGTAATCGTTTCTGGGTCACCAGACACACGGAGGGCGAAATGTTGAAGAGTTGATTTCGTCCTTGGCGTTCTGAGTTGTATAACCACATGCGAATCATACATGCTTGGTTCGGAGACACAGCACAACTCAATTTTAAGAGAGTGCATTGTTCCAGAGAGCATTGCCCGTTTGCCGATTTGATATAAAATATAGACGTTAGGAGCTGTTCTGAAAGACTTTATTTAGTCAGAGTTGATGAACAAACATCAATTAACATTTTTTATGCACTTAATTGTGTCCGTGAATTTTGTGTTGCGGGTGATCAAACTATGAGGCATGTGGCACTGTGCCAACCTTCCATGTCATTCGGAAAGGCCTCTCATTCCTGTAATAAAGGCGACAATAAAACTAAGCTCCCACGGCTTTTCCTGAGTCGTTTTAGAGACTAGCGTACCAACATTGGTGAGCACAAATGCTGAATTTTTACAGCGCTCTGTTTGAATTAAAGGCACATGTAACACGAGTAGCGTTGACAAATCGGAAATCTGATGAAGATAGCCATGCGCCGATAAAAATTATTATATACTTTCAGTAAGGAGAGTAGTATGTCAAAGCTAACGGCAGTTTCATCTTCGTTTTTCTAATCGAACCATTAAGAGCTACATATAGAAAGGTGGCAAAACGCTTCACTTTCTCCAGAGACGCGCGTCCGGCGAAGAAATCAGTCGATCTGTTTGACAGTGACAAGCGTCTAGTGTCGAGACATTGCGATTGCCACCCAAGAGTCTTCCTAAATGGACAGATGATGAACGACAGTCGCTTAACTTCTGCATGTTTTTCGCACTAAAATTTTAAAATCTAGCAACCGATCTGTAAAAACGCTAAGTTTTGTAGGTTACGAAATTCACAAACACGGCGGTACGATTCTCCGTTTATTCGCGCCGCCCACAGTACGAGGAACTACATTTTTGGCCATTTAACGGTTTTGGACCAGCCTACCGAAGCCACAGAACCTAAGTTGTTGAAAGTCCGCATGTCATTTATCGTAGAATTTCCAGGTGTTCTGTGGCATGAAAAGGGAGACCAAGGCTTATACCTAATTCAGAAACGCACAACGTGTGTGCCAAAAACGGTGCACGCATGCAATGCATTAAGGCAACAGGAGAGCAGATTTCGATTGTCCTGTTTCCACCTCAGTGGGCGGAAGGCCTCAGGCCCAGTTTATCCTCACCAAAGATGACACGTGTGTTCGTACCCTGCAGAACCAACGTCCATCGACTAGCAGATTTCCCTAATGGCTGAAGTTACTTACAGATTGGTGAACCACATGATCTGGTAAACCCTTCTAGCCGTCACAAAATTGTTTTGCCTAGCGGCTGACCCTAAGTGGACCCAAGTGGTTACTTCAGCATTCCGTTGCCGGGCATACAACTATGGCACAACTTATTTATCATCTTCAAGTGTACGTTTTTGTTAGGAGTTTGGTGTATCAAGACCTATGACATACCGTTACATGGGCCGTCCATTCGTACGCATGCCATCGGATCGAAGCGTCCACCAGTCATACCGTAACACATATCCATTGGAGGTTCTCCCAGTTTTCCACCTGCTTTGTAACAAAGTCGTTGGTGTTTGCGTTGAAAAGGGCGCCCTTGAATAAGGTTGATCAGGGATGGCACAGATGCTGCACATAAAATCAGAAAACTCAGTGCGGAGAAGATGGCACAGACAATCGCTGCATTGTGAATTCGGCCTGCTTGCACGTGGCTGTCCATGTCTAGATCGGTTGGGGGAGCTTTGGTGACTCCGGATGCCTGAACAGAGCCCATATCACTTACAGAAAGTGGCGCGAAAGCCATCAGTGTTGCCAAAGTCAGAGCAGTGAGTAGCGTGGAGGAAAGCCAAAACCAAAGTGGAAGACAGCAGAATTTTCGGAATGTTTGTGTAGATTCGCCTGAAACCAGGATGAAACCACTGAGAGAATAACGTGTTTAGCAGGAAAGCCACCTCAACCAATATCAGCCTCCTGACAAAAGATGGTGACCTTCAACAACCAACACTTGCGTTAATCAGATTGGCGCAAGATAATAGGTCTACTTGAGCGTTGTATTCATCTGATGGTCAATAATCAGCTTGTGTGAAGGATTTGGCTTTGGTGCCAGCATAGAGAATGTTGACGTTGACACCGAGGCTGAACAGTTCGCCTGGATTCCTGCTCTTGATATTAGATAAACAGGTAGATAGATAGATATTACTTACTTTAAACAATATGCTGGTATATTTTTATGCGTAACCTTGATGATATTAAGTGGAACGTTCATGATCTGTAGAATGTGAAATCTGTTGTGAGTTTACCAGAAGTCTTTCTGGATAGAACCAAAGCAAAATCATGGTCATAGACTTAGCAGTTGCATTCAAAACTGATGAGACCAAACAGTATGACGAGCTCTGACTGTATTTGCAAAGAAACTAAACATCTAGATTTAGGTCCTTTAATGCCAGCCACATAAATAATCTATGTGACAAACCAAATTACGCTGGGAGTGGTTTCATGTTAAAGTTTACCTCTTGAAATTTGGTGAACCTAATTTTCTTTATGTCATAACTTACCGAAAGCATCTTTGCTTGCCCACTGCATTCGCACAGCAATTTTTCCGTATTTCTGCTCGATGAACTGCCACATTTTTTCCGTCATCAAAGCCGCGGCGTCTACCCCACTGACACAGCCGGCCAAATTCAGACTGATCGGCAAAAGCCTGTGAATGTATAGGGAAACACGAATGTGTAGGTGGCTGGAAGACATTACAACTTTTGCTAGGAAAAAGCAACACTCTTGACGCGCTTTAGGTACCGTGTTGTATAAAAAAGTGTTCAGTGTCCGGTTATGTTTCAGGCATGTATCAGTTCTCATTATGCAGCGAAAATTAACAAACGATCAACAGCTCTCGAAACACCAGAGGCAGACGAAAAAATGAATGACAATCATGTGATGAGAGTGGAATTCGCTCTTGGATACATTACACTTCCCAGGAGAGTGAAAGCGGACAGTGTTTGACAGCGCTGGTGCAGTGTTGGGACACCCGAACATTCACGTGACCGCGCGGTCGTTCACGGAAATCCAGCCAGTCATTAACCATGAGTTAGCACGCCGTATTGTCGCACTCACTGGTTCAAAGGGAGTGCGAATAACAAACACATTAACTTCAGGGTCACTTTCAAGATATGAGATACTTTTATCTTCATCGAATACTTTCCCCAGCAAAGGAAGACAAACAGGTTTTCATCCATGTTTCTACCTTACAAGCAAAAGGTTAAACTACTCATATCTTGCGTGAGTAGCATGAGTTGAAACTTTAGGCTCGTCCTTGGCAAAGTGCCCATGGAGAATACAAAATGTATTTCCGACAAGATATTTACTAGTGAGAGGGGTGTCCAGTTCAGTCCAAGTCGGATTCATTGTGTGTAACGGAGATTACGTTTCAATCGAGACCTTTTTTCTACTTGGTGAGGCTGCTGTCTATAACTTTTAGTACTACACCACACAATGAGAATGCGCAAAGTTGCACTAATGAATGAGAATTGATAGGAAGAACAGTTTATTTTTCATGTCGGTTTCAAGGTCATATTAACTTAGCCTGAAGGTCTGTCAGTTTTCTCCTTCATCCCAGTCTGTTTAATCCATCTTGATAACTATCCGTATGGTGAGAAACAATATTTAACTGTGAGAAATACTGACTACATCTCGGCAACCTAACATCACCTCAACAGGCCTCAATGTTCTGCTTATCAGATCATCTCCTGATTTTAACCCCGGGCTACTTGTACCCAGACGGACCAAAACTCGGTTCAGTCTCTCAGATGATGATCCGGTTAAAGGACAATCTCACCATCTGCTTCCAATTGCGGAGACGTGAGTGGAAAAATCAATCCAGTAGGTAGATATGAAAGCATCCCAAAAGTGATCAAAGGATTTTTAATTAGAAAACAACGGGGATATTTAAACGGCTATCCAGTTGACAGTAAAGTATGGTTTGTATATCCGTATGAATTTGGTATCTGTTCCGAGTTCCGTTTGTGGGTACGGTTCCCATTTATGTGTGAACGATTTAATTACAAACAAGGACGAGCAACTGTTAAGGCCAACAATGGATGCCGCACGTTGTTAATATGAGATATGAACCTTTTTTAGGTTAAGGTTTTATTATAAATGTATAGTGTCCAACGGACAGCGGTGAGACCGGTGGTGGCATTTTCATCAACCTGGGTCACCCATGATTGATCAGGTTAAGTAAATGATTATCGGTAGGAGCAAATATATTCATCAATATTGTGAGTGCGACTCTACCACAGAGGCTGTTGCCCTTCAAACCACGCTGCTAATGCTGGTGCTGTTGCCTTGCCCCTTCTAGCAGAGTATTCCTATGAATGAAAACGTCTCATTAGGACAAACTATGTGGATATTCACGGATGTCTCTTTTGAAAACATGCTATACATACAGTACCATAGATGACACAAAACTACAATGTCACTTGGTTTGGCTATTTCTTGAAAGGGGCACTTTATCAAGTTATGCGCTCGTGAAACCAGCTGATCAACACAGGGAGTCATGGTCAGGAAGTGCTTGAGTAAACAGGTCGTTACTTTCCGACCATTCGACTGCTGATTTTATGTTATTTGAAAACTGTCCGGCGAAATTTTCATGGGTATCTCACTTTGCTGGTGACATGGTGTTTGCCCACATCACGTCACCCAACTTCGGTGGAAGACGGTGAAAAAATATATTTATTACAACCCGCTGTGGTAGCAATGCTTTTTTCGGGAATCCATGGATTCAACGGTAACCTTGTACTAACTAAACCCTGGTTTCTGGAGCACATAATTTCGTTCTACAGCAACTGTGTGTAAAGGCTGGAGGGAAGTAGTAGTTGGGCAATTACTGTATTGCTTGGATTCGTCGTTCTGGGTGAGCTATGGATACATACTTAGCATCGTTGCAAGGGGTTGCCACGATCGTTTGGCAATAATAAAAAAGAAGAGCTGAGAGACTTCTGACCATGACCACCTTAGGTTTTGTGAGATTCCGCCTCATTTTAACAACCGATGATAAAACAATAAGGTCATCAATACTACGGTGTTTGATCGAGATCAACAAGATTCTTAAAGTGGTAGGGTCGCGAGATACTACCCACATTTGTTTCACTGATACATGAGTAAGATTTTCGGCTTTACATTGGGGACGGGAGTAAAAAAATTGATAAAACGAAGCCCCAGGTACATGTTGTAGGCATGTGTTTTTACTGTAACAACCGCTTTAGACTGTGGTGGAAAATAAAGGCTCATTTGCAAACCCAAACGTCGTTACAAGAGAGTTCGCACTGGTTATTTACAAAGTGAATCCTGATTTTGGTCTTGCCGTCAGGTTATCTTCAGTGCAAAATCAGTTCATTGGTTCAACCTTTCTTTATGTTAACTGTTTTCAGTTTACTTCTAGGTAAATTTCAATATAAGCACAAACGTTGTGTTCATAGTCTGTTGTCTGCCAACCGGAGTGAGAGATTTTTGGAAGCACTAGGGTCATTGCAAGCTTCCAGTCTGCTTCCTAATGCCGGAATCAACTTGTTGCGAAATTAAAACCAGACTTAATATTGTGCACTTTTTTTTGCTGCCAGACTTTGTCAAAACGACGCCACTTTACTCACGGCAGAGGGCTTTATTTACATGTCTGAATGATATACGGTAATTGGTATTTATCCTACCAGGTGTTCCTCTTGATGTAAACCGTTAAATGTGATATAAAAATGTCAGCTTCCCTAGCCATTCTAAGGTTCGGAAACCGAATGTTTGAGGGGAATAACCGTGGCCTTGGGTTGCTGAAGGGACTTCAGTAACTTTATGAATAATCTGTTTCGTCTGGGCAGCGTATTGCGATATCTTGAGAATCGCACCAACTGAAACATGGGCTGCACTTGTGCAGAACATTCAGTTGGAGAATGCCATAAACATGTGATCCAGCTGGGATTCAATTGACCATCCCGTTAAAACCAACTGTATGTGCTAATGAGTGTTCTAAGCAGATTTCATAGAATAAAAGTTTTTTTTTCAAAAAACTCGGGGCTGAGGCTACCTGATGAGCCTCAAGAAGTTGAACCGGTTGGCAGATTTCATAGAATAAAAGTTTTTTTTTCAAAAAACTCGGGGCTGAGGCTACCTGATGAGCCTCAAGAAGTTGAAACCGGTTGTGGGCCGTCGAAGAGTTTACAGCAACCTTATGAGTAGTATCCTACACCATGTTTCTCAACTATTTTGACCCGTCTGGGGAAGTTTACTTATCTTTGTCTCAGATCGTGCTCTTTTTCTACAGACCTTCTGAATGGCCCTGAACTTTAGTCATTTGTGTCCGACAATAATCATCCCTTCAGAATCCTTTCCTTGAAACTGGCATCTGATTTTCTTGGTTATTAATCATGTGGCTATCCAGCCGTTTTTTGAGCTTGGCAATAACTTGCAATCGTTTCGCCAACAACCGAAAAAGACATCATCAGTGTGCGAGCTGATGATATTCTGTTTGTAAACGATGCAACCAACTGCCGTCAAACATGACTTCAACTTTCGTTATCTAGCTCGGGGCTGCCGTGAAATGCATAGTCAAACTTCCCTCAAAGATTGAACCATGGTAGGTTAACCGATGATCCAAGACTGTTTAAAGATCGTGATGCCATCTTTACAGGCACAGAGAAAGTAGGTATATGGACAAAATACTGGACCAACTTTAGTTGTTATATCACATAACTGTATGGGGAGGCATGAAATCAGGACACCGACTAGTGGCCACAGTGTGCTGTTATATCGTGCTGCTCAGATAACCCACCGTGGTTTGAACTATAAGTGAGATGCAGATCCGCACCCACATTATTTCGCAGCTGTCACAACATCCTGGTACCGTTAGTCAGGACGGTAGGACATGATTGCATCTGCCTCTGTGCAATTTGTTTCAGGATCCTCTGGGCCTGCTGACTAGCAGTTGGTTCGTTGGCCACTTGGTTCCAAATCATCGAGGGTGAACGTAGTACAACCTACCTCACATCATAATGAACGATTTCCTTCAAAAGCCTTTGAAAGCAAGAACATACGAACAAGTTTTTTGTATAGTTTCTTCTTTAAGCCCCACTATCCACAGAATCGAAACAAAACGAGAAACTCAATAATACTTGAGAATTTTAGACACCAGAGATTTTAAAAATTAGAGCTAAAGAAAACTTCTCCGCCATTACCATATTGTGTTTCGGAAGAGCTTAGTAAATAATCGGTAGTCTTTATTCGGTCAAAAATGGGTCCGGCACCGGATTGGTGATTTTGGAACCGAACAAAAACATGTGATGGTTGTACGAAAAGAACTCCCGATTGCTGTGTTGTCCATAGGACTCTCTCTTCATTTAGGTCAAGCCTTGAATGTCAGAGGTTACCTAACCCAGTTGTTTCTACTGGGTCGTCCAATCTCTAATGTGGGAAACTCCACATTAAGTCAGTAAACGGACGGAGTGAATTGTAATCATATGACTTTCATTCGACCGCTTTGTGCTGCTTTTGTAGGAAACACTGAGAAGTGTCACAAACGAAAAACGGCCTATATAAACCACCGTTTGCACGCACGTAAAACTCACTGGCACACAATCTTCGCATTGATTGAGGAAACCGATGTAAGGAAAAGTGCTTTGTCATTGGACTTCTGACAAATTGGCTAAATTCTCTCAGCGG